TAGAAGAGAAGCCATTTTTAAAAACAAACAGGACTATTCCCTTGAAGCTACTCAACAGAAAGAAAGAAATAAGTTTCTCTCAGTGTGAGTTATTTTCAACAGCTTAAACCATCCTTTTCTTAAAACTTGAAGATTTCAATAGTAATAAAAGTACGAAAATAGAATCAGAGAAACAACCTGAAGAAATGTGTATGTTAAACTGGGTTGAGGGAAACATAGGTCATGTCTCTACACCAACAGCTTGACCTGGGGCTAAGCTGGAGCATTATGTTCTGGATTAGCCTCAGACCCACCATGACTGTGGCTACATGTACGAACATGTATCTTCTGCAATACTCCATTGGTATCCAGATTGGCTGGCCCACATCAGCCCTGTGAGACTGCCCACTTTTCTTGTGTTTCTATCACCACTGTCTGACTAGCCAAGGCGCTCCGGATGAGAGCCTTCCCATTGTGGTTTTGTCTGCTGGGGTCATAATGGGTGCTCATGTGATGAACAAGGAAAGTGCTAATCATACAGGTGCCCAATTCTGACCCCAGCAGATGTGACTACAATGGCCAGGCTTTCACAGGGAGGTCTTGGCCAGCAAGATGGCAACGATGACAAGATAAAGATGACCCATTGATTAACCCTGTGATTAACACAGGTAAATAATGACAGCAGCAGGATTTATGTGGTCAATTAATTGGGCCAAATGGAATCTAAACCACTTGTCCGCATGGCCACAAATCCTGAGGACACTGGAGTTTCCTGAAAACTCCAGAGTATCCCAACTTTGCTTATTGTGGGACAATTTCAGATAACAGGTCTAGATTCTTCCTGGAAGTCATTGCACACCATGAAGACAGCTAGCTTGAGCCAGCTTTGGGGTGAGTGAGTACAGATTGTTTTACTCATGTAGACTTGTCCCAGGCTGCCCTTACCAGGTGACCTTGAATCAGTCTTTCTTTCTACTTCCTAGAGTTTTTAGGAAATAAAATTCTGCCACTTCACACTTGAGTTAAAAAATAGTGAGCAAGCTAAATTAATGATCTTGTTGACTGAGCAAACATCTGAATGTCAGGTCTTCTTGTTGTATTTAGGAATGGCTTTGCCATTGAGCTGAATACACAATTTGCATTCCTACTGCAGTGTATGGTCTTTCCAGTTCTCCCCTTCTATTAGAGAACAAAATGATATGTTCCATGCAACATGTCCTGGGCCAGCTGCTAAATAATAATAATAATAATAATAATAATAATAATAATAATAATAATAATAAAAAATAAACAACTTTTATTTATACCCCACCATCATCTCCTGTATGGACTTGGTGCGGCTTACAATAGCACACAATGGTGCTACACAACATATAAAATACAGTATATCGACATTAAAACCAATATCATATTTAAAACCAGACATATAAAATTAGCTAGAGCAATAGAGTTGATAAAATGTGGCAATAGTCATTGATTAAAATATCCATGCAATCAATTTAGCCTTCCCTGGCTAAAGATAGTACTCTGGCTGCTATCTTGAACGTTATCAAAGGCCTGTTGAAAGAGCAAAGTTTTTACCTCTTTCCGAAAGTGCTGTCATGTGGGGGCTTGCCTTAGTTCCCTGGGGAGGGTGTTCCAGAGCCAGGGGGCCACCACTGAGAAGGCCTCCTCCCTCGTCCCCACCAACTGCACTTGAGACAGAGGCGGGACCGAGAGGAAAGCCTCCCCAGCAGAGCCTGCACCAGTTCATAGGGGGAGATGCGATCACGAAGTTAGGCTAGACCTGAAACTAGTCTGCAACCTCAGTAAAGACTGCTGTCTCATGAGTAGTTTTGAGGGTAAGTTCACCTGCATTCCGATCAGCTTCTGTACATTGGGATAAACAATTGCTGTGGTTTCTTGGGGCAACTTTTATGCCTTTGGATCCTTTGGTGGGTCCACTGAATACTGAAAAATGAAACAAAAAAAACCAACCCTACAGTAGCTGTATGCCCAGTTCTACTACTCAAAAATTGGTATATTTAATATAATACAGTACGATTCCACCAAATTAAAAGGTATGATTTGGCACTTGAATGCTTCCAGAAGCTTTTTTTTTAATCAGAAGGTAGTCATTCTGGGTATTGAAGCATGAAAAACATGCTTTTGAATGGTGCACTTTTTCCATGCATGTTGTACATTGGGCAAAAAGGCAAGTGCTATCTTGTCCCAACTTTCTGTCCAAGCCATATTCTCTAGCATTATAAGGAGATAAGGGTTTTTTTTTTCTTTTGCATAGCATGCTAAGGATTGAGCTTTAAATTTCGAATGATTTTTAATGTCCCGGAATACTTCAGTGTCACTGTGAAGTCAGAGATGTCAAGCCAAAATTAACATTTTTTGCTCTTGAGCCGACCTTTCCAATTGACATGCTGTGATACTTCTTTTCAATAGGAAATGTCAAAGCTTTCAATTCCTACTATATGCCATCAGGATTCATGCTAAAAGTTTGCTTCTCTGAAGGATTTTGATATTATAGTTTCGTTACAATGAATAAAATATCACTCTGGGAATAGAAAAGGAAATTTTGAGTTATCAGATTAACCACTGGCACAGTGTTAGTACAGCCAAATCATCCTCTTTTTGAAGTCCCCTGCTCCTGCCCTGACCTCTCCCCAGCAAGTAAAATTTTATATCAGCCCACAGAAATGCCTGCCACATATGTGTAACTGCTTTCAGTTTCTTTTTGTCTTGTGGCAATCTCTGGGTTTCATACAGTGTTCTCAGGCAAGAAATTCTCAGAGGTGGTTTGTCATTGCTTTCCTGTAAAATGTAAGCTACCATAACTGGTATTCCTTCATGATCCCACCTCATATTTGTAGCTATCGTATTGACTTTTACAAATTTGATTATTTGTGGATTTAACATTTTCTCTTTAGGAATCTCCAGGTCCTCAAAGGTAACTCAATGTCCACTAGAAATTGAATGTACCCTCTAGAGCAGTGTTTTTCAACCCTCCTAATGCTACGGACCCTTAATAAAGTTCCTCATGTTGTGGTGACCCCCAACCATAACATTATTTTCGTTGCTACTTCATAACTGTAATTTTGCTCCTGTTATGAATTGTCATGTAAATATCTGATGGGTAGGATGTGGCACAAATACCTGATATGCCTATATTTGAAGACTGGTGGGGTGGGGGAGATTGATTTTGTCATTTGGGAGTTGTAGTTGCTCGGATTTATAGTTCAGCTACAATCAAAGAGCATTCTGAATTCCATCAACAATGGAATTGAACCAAATTTGGCACACAGAACTCCCATGACCAACAGAAAATACTAGAAGGGTTTGGTGGGCATTGGCCTTTAGTTTTGGGAGTTGTAGTTCACCTGCATCCAGACAGAACTATGGACTCAATCAATGATGGATCTGAACCAAACTTGGCACAGATACTCAATATGCCCAAATTTGAATATTGGTGGAGTTTGGGGGGGGGGGGATTGAATTTGCCATTTGAGAGTTGTAGTTTCTGGGATTTATAGTTCACCCACAAGCAAAGAGCACCCTGAACTCCACCAACAATGGAATTGAATCAAATTTGGCACACAGAACTACCATGACCAACAGAAAATACAGGGAGTGTTTGGTGGGCATTGAGTTGTAGTTTACCTACATCCATACTCAATCAATGAGAGATCTGGACCAAACTTGGCACAAATACTCAACATGCTGAAATGTGAACACTGGTGGAATTTGGGGGAAATAGACCTTGACATTTGGGAATTGTAATTGCTGGGATTTATAGTTCATCTACAACCAAAGAGTGGGAAGAACTGGGCCAAACTTCCCACACAGAATCCCCAAGACCAACAGAAAATACTGTTTTCTGATGGTCTTTGGTGACCCCTCTGACACCCCCTCGCAACCCCCTCAGGGGCCCTGACCCCCAGGTTGAGAAACACTGCTCTAGAGAAGCTTCAAATTCCTAGAGAGGCTAAAAAAGTGGTTTTTAATTTGCTGGTTTTTGTTTTGGTTTTGGTTTTGGTTTTTTTTGTGCTTTCACAAGGGTCCTGAAACCCAACCTTTGTGACAGTGAAAGGCTTTCCCAGGCCTGACTCTGCTCAGCTTCTCATATCAGAAGGATGGTATACTTCAGCAAGATTATATACTCCAGCATAGAGGAGCAGGAAATCTTTACTATAACTCAATGCTGGTTTCTTATATCATTTCCTGCGGGATTTTGGAAAATCTAGTGTTCTCTCTGTCTAAAAAGTGGTTTTCTGCTTTCACAAGGGTCCTGAAACCCAACCTTTGTGACAGTTAAAGGCTTTTCCAGGTCTGAATCCGCTCAGCTTCTCATATCAGAAGGATGATATACTCCAGCATACAGAAACAGGAAACCTTTACTATAGCTCAAAGCTGGTTTCTTATATCATTTCCTGCAGGGATTTTGGAAAATCTAGTTGTGAGATAATGTCTACACAGATTTAATCCCTGTAACAAAATAGTTCTGTTTATAACATTTAGAGCATGTCTTCATGTTCCAGAGCTTCAAGATTTACATTCTGTTATGTCATAAAGAGTCCTTTCCATGGCTCCATCTACACTGCCTTATAAAATCTAGATTTATTTATATTTATTTATTTCTTGCACTTCTACCCCACCCTTCTCAACCCCCGAGGGGTGACTCAGGGCGGCTTACAAAAAGGCACAATTCGATGCCGGCACAACAACAAGGTAAAAAATAAAACATATAAACAGTAATTAAAACAATTAAAACAATCAATTATACATCACAATTCCTAAAAACAATATAGTGCTCAACGTTTATCTGCTTTGAAGTGGTTTATATAGCAGTGTAGATCCATCCAGCCTAACTTATACCTTTCTATCTTGTTGTGAGTGATGAGAATTGTATTTCAACATATCTGAAGGGCACCAAGTTAGGGAAGGTTGTCATCAAGGCCAGTAAAACCAGGTGCATAATCATTGTTAGGGAAAGTGATAGTAATAATGAATTAATTTTCTTTGTTTTGCAGTGGCTATGACTTTGATTATGAATACTACAGGGATGACTTCTATGACAGGTAAACACAGATCTGATATATCTATGTGTTTATTTGAGATATGTACCTATGTTCTCATCTCAAAGAAGACCTCAGAGGTATATATATGAAATGCTAAATATGAAAGCAAGTTTTAAAATATATTTAAAATGCCTGGGCAAGTGAAAGTGGTTTGGCGTGGCACTAGAAGGAGTGAAAATTTGCTGCCTTGTATAACTCCAAGATGGCACTCCATTATCAGGACCACCAGCACAGAGTAAATCTTCCCTTTTCATAATTATAAATGTGTTTGTTGTATGAAAGGACAGTTGAAAACAAAATATCAGTAGCAAGGGACCCAAAATTAAGTTTCATTCTTACTTTCTTGAAAGAGTCTCAAAATTTAGAATGAACTGCTTGTGAAAGGGAAACCAGAACAGCACTTAGTGCCTTTAAAATCTAGATTTTTGATCCAATTCCATGTGCTTTTTTACATTTTCTTGCCTTTTCCCAACTTTCTTTGATGATGAACTAACACTTTGACTAACACTTACATCCTTATTCCAGCCTTCTTAAAAGTATGTGTGCACTCTTCTACCATTTTACTTTTCCCCCAATAGGTCCTAGAATACTCCTCATCCAAGCCTCCTTAGTGTAGCCGAAACTCACTGGAAACAGAAATAAGAGAAAGCTTCACAAAGGCTGCAAAGAGAGTAGGAAGAAGGGAGTGAACAGTTGCTTTATCCCTGGCCACATGTAACTGCTATAGTGTCTTGTCATATTCTCCCTCTGATAGTTCACATATATGAAAAGACACAAGTTTCTATTTGCTGGATTTCCACTCTTAAGCAGGAATTTTCAAATATGACCAGGTACTAAACTGAAAGAAGAGAAGGAATGGGATGGTGAGATATAAAAGAAGAACCAGCCTTGCACATCAGTCTTGAAGTACTCTGGTAATTCTAAGAATGGAAACATTACAGTGAGTGCCTTAAAAATATATCAGATATCACTGTATTTCAGGGTGTAGTGATTTGCTAAGTAAATGAGTACAGCAGTATTAGTTCACAGTGTAATGGCTTGGCAAATGTGTCTTCCAGAACCGTCATGATCAAATATCCATAGTATCTGTTACTATTCTGAGCAATATAGTCAAAACGCAAGGATAGAATGCTACCTCCCCCTAGAGGAAATCCATGAGTACAAACTCACACTTTTGAAAAAAGTGTGTTTGGTCTATATGCTGTTGAAAGGTGAATCTTCTAGTTTATGTTGTTTTCTCTTACAGACTCTTTGAGTATCGGGGACGGGTCTCTCCCATACCTAGAGTGGTTCCTGTGAAGCGTCCACGTGTGACCATCCCTTTAGTAAGGCGCATAAAAGCAACACTCCCAGTCAAACTCTTTGCCCGATCTGCTGCCATTGCAAACAGCTCTGCCAAGTTAAAATGTAAGTTTCTATTATTTATTTATTTATTTATTTATTTATTTACTTTGCTTATATGCCGCTGTTCTCAGCCTGGGGGCGACTCACAGCGGTGTACAACATAGAAAGAACAAGGTTCAAAATACAAGACACAATATAAAATAATCCACAATCCAGCATTAACAAAAAACATCATCATCAAAAAACATCATCATTACTACGAAAGCCAAAGTTTCTATGCTCTTATAAGGCCATATTGACAACACCTTTGAGAATGCAAAGCATCGTTTGAGTCGTCTTTGTATTACAGCTATGCTGTATGTTAACTATAGTTTTTATATGTCAAATATGGTAACTATTATGTATTGTAAGACAATATTTATCCTCTGGAGAATGCAAAATAATAAACATCCTATGTGATAAGAGGAATTTAAGGTATATTTGGACTACACAATTAAATAAGCTTGATACAATTTCTGTAGGCTTATTCTACATAATCCTGGTATCTGTAGTTCAATAATATGCTTAGAATTCTCTACAAGAGTGTTCTACTTGCTTTCCTGAACTACAGTTCCCAGTGTATACTGGATGATTGTCTACATTATAAAGTTAAATAGCTTTAATCCTCAAATCCTCCTTTTCCCAAGATACCTTACCTTCTAACTACTTCACATAACTACAGAGTTCCAATCCTTCAGATTGGAACTATGGCAACTGAAGAGAAATGAAACAGGTTCCACTGTTTGCTCAGATGTTCCAACACTTCTTTTCCTTAAAATGAGAGTGAAAAGATGCAAAAGGCTATAAATCCAAGGTAAATTGAAGACTGCTTCGGGTAGAGAGAAGGGCACAAGTATGCGTTTCAATAAAGTTATAAATTCTTGATGACCAAGATCTCTCCAAGCAGAGTCAACATCTTGCCAGAGTCATTATAGAACAGGCTTCCAAGCCTTTAATTAGCTGTGTATGCTAATTTGGCCACTTACAGCTGATCCCATATACAAAGCTTTATGATGGGAGAAATTGTACCTGGCAAAATTATCCTGTCTTCTTCACAATTATGAAAGACAAATGAGAGCCTGCCCTGAAATGAATACAACAGCCTTAATTATGTATTGTCAAAGGCTTTCATGGCCAGAATCACTGGGTTGTAGTAGGTTTTTTTAGGCTATATGGCCATGTTCTAGAGGCATTATCTCCTGACATTTCGCCTGCATCTATGGCAAGCATCCTCAGAGTTAGTGAGGTCTGTTGGAACTAGGAAAATTGGGTTTATATATCTGTGGAATGACCAGGGTGGGACAAAGAACCCTTGTCTGCTGGAGCTAGATGTGAATGTTTCAACTGGCCACCTTGATTAGCATTTGATGGCCTGGCAGTTTTTTGGTGTGGCTTGTTAGTGCCTGGGGGAATCTTTTGTTGAGATGTGATTAGTTGCCCCTGATTGTTTCTTCTCTGTTGTTTTGCTGTTGTAATTTTAGAGTTAAATGCTAATCAAGGTGGTCAGTTGAAACATTCACACCTAGATCCAACAGACAAGAGTTCTTTGTCCCACCCTGGTCATTCCACAGATATATAAACCCAATTTTCCTAGTTCCAACAGACCTCACTACCTCTGAAGATGCTTGCCATAGATGCAGGCAAAACGTCAGGAGAGAATGCCTCTAGAACATGGCCATATAGCCTGAAAAAACCTACAACAACCCAGCCTTAATTATGATGATTTCAGAGCAGGTCGTCCTACTGAAAGTTATATAAAGCAAATAAGTACATGTCTGTTGAAGAAAATCTGATTAACAAAATGAAGAGGGAAGAGTAAGCTTACTTCCAACTTCTCTCTTCCAAGTGAAATGCAATGAACTGCAAACAATTAAAACGGAGCTGACACAGATCAAATCCAACATTGATGCTCTCCTGGGGAGATTGGAACAAATTGCTGAACAACAGAAAGCATCTACAGGTCAGTTGACTGATTTGAATTGTCCCATCATTGAAGCCAAGACATGCGGGAGTTCAGGTGTATCAAGAGACTCAATGGCAGCTACCCAGTTATAGCTAACCCTTTTTAAATTAAAGGCCTGTGTCCATGTATTGTTTTGCAGCTATAATTCGCCAGCTGCAGTTAAGTGACTATTTGTAGCTGTGTATCAAATGGGGATTTTTAAGAGGCATTTTCTTATAAAAGTTATTGTGATAGAAGAGCTAACCTTAGAAGCCTATGATTTCAAAAAGATTGCCAGCTCTCCATAAGTGAATCAAGATACATTTGGGCTTTTGTACTTTTTTTTCCCCTTTTGTCCTTGAGACTATATTTTATGGTCTAATTTTCTAGATATCACTAGGACTAGATCCTGGTAAGAATTTTTAATTGAAATCAACCTCAGTGGAGTAAAGCAACTCTCTGATTTTTGATGTATACCTGCCCTAGTTGAGCTCCAAAGGAAGATAGTTCATAGAAGGAAAAATGGGAAGCACAAAAGAAAAATTAAACTTGTCTTAATCTAACATCTTGCCATTCATTCTCTCTTAGCCCTCAGCCCCAAAATAGAAAGCTTAAAAAAACTTTCCTCAAATTGTTCACACCTTGTTTCATGCAATGGGGGCTGTGGATTTTCCCAGCTGCCGCCCTGTTAAGCTAGAGATGGGCAACCTGGTTTCCCCATTTTTGGTAGGCTCAAATTCCAATTAACCCTAGAAAGCATGGCTGATAGAACTGAGAGCTGAGCAACTTCTGGAAATGTATAGATCACACACATCTAATTTTGTCTTTCACTGCCAGCTGTCAAGGAAAGGTCATATTTCCCCTCACCCATAAATTATATGAAATACCTATATCCATCCAAACCCAGTTCTGATCAAAGCTCCTCCCTTGGTTTTCATGTTGGAGAAGGATCTGTCATCTACCTGTGAGATCCCAGGCTATTGTTTAGTCCAGGAGTAAGCGGTGCAGGGACTTCCAGATAGTGCAACTTTCATCAGTCCTTCCCAGCACTAGCAATAATGAGGCATCATGGAAATGGTAGTCAGACAACATATAAAGGGCTGTGCAGTCTAATTTTCCACTTTAGTGGGAATCTTGACAAACTATTATATGTTTAGGAGAATGTCAGGCATAAAGTAGAATCCCTGGGGGCTGGTATAAGTACCTGATCCTGATAGCTGGCAGAATTTGATGATGACAACAGCAATTCTGGGAGGACAGCATTCTTTCCCCTCATCCCTTCCACACATTCTGGGCTATAGGACTATGTGGAAGGGCCCTCAGACTAGAGCTCTGAGCAGCTGAGCCTAACTGGAATAAATTTGCCATAGTGATTGCAGTCACGTATTGCTTCTGAGGCATGCTGGGAGTGATACATGACTTGGACTTCAGCTATACCTTTTGCCACCTTCAAGTGAGCCTGACAGTGTCCACCAAATCAAAGCTCAATGACACTCATCTTTTAGACTGCACCACCCCAAATCCTCCACTCTAAGAGTTGTCACCCATGTTCTCTCACCAACAGAAAAGAGCACTTATATAGTGGTCTTTTGTGTCTTGCTCTGCAGAAGTTAGAAAGAAAGCAGATGGAAATAAAAGTGAAATTTCCCAAGACGACACAGCATCAGAGACAGAAATTAATACAGAGGAGCCACTAAATGGGGAGGAAGGAGACGAGGAAGGCCTTGTGCGAGACGATTGTGAAGATGAATTGGTAAGAGGAAATGGGAAAGCACTTGGTCTCCTGTCACCTGCATGGATTGATAAGTAATTTACAATTGGAAAAATGACTGAAATGATTAGAGAAGGTGATATTATTTCAACCTTACTCTACCTGTCCTCCAGAAAAAAATAGTCCTCTTCGATGTATGATTAGTTACAGGCGGGATTTATCTGCTTTGCTGACCATGAGAAGGAGATCTTCCAGGAAGTACTTGACATATGTAACACTAAGTAATAAGGTCTGGTTTTTTTCAGTTCACATCATCAACAAGTCCATGTTTTTCTCAACTGACAATTTCTTGCTAATGCAGTGAGCTGATTTTTTTCCTTAGATTTGCAACTGTCTGATCATGTGGCTAAGAAATATAGTGTGTAGCCTTTTAAACCAAACAGACAATTAGCCTGCAATTGCTTCAAATAATTTTTCTTCATCCTGATCTGACAAAGCATATCCATATCCCACAAATACAGCAAAAATCAACTCAGCAGGTAGGAATGCTGATAGCTACACCCACTAACACTACCAAATAAGATGGTCATTAGAATGCAAGCTTTTTCTTCTTAGTGATGTTGGATGGAAATTTAGAATTTTACACATACTATGAAACTACCATTTCTCCACCTAGAGATGCATGTCTACAAAAAAACCTATTCTTGCCCATGTATAGTCTTTACCTGAGTTAAGCGGGATATTCAGTGCTGGAATTAAGCTTTGTCAAATTTGGGAACCTGCCCAAGTCCAGTGCAGGCCTCAGTGCTGATGTACCTAAACCTGCTGCTGTACCTCTGTGCTGTTATTGGTTGCTCCCCTGCCCTCTCTGTGGAAGCAGGGGAAGAAGCAAGGAGGAAGAACAGAAAAGTCTTTTTCCCCCTAGCTGGCACTGCATTTTGTGCTCTGCCCATGTACATGTTCATCCTGCCTCCCAAAAGGCCATTTCCAAAGGCACAGAGTATGCTTCCTTAGCCATTTATTCGCCTTTGGGGAGGAAGAGAAGTGGCTAAGCAACTAGAAATTAAGAAGGCAACATCTGCTCTCTTTTCTTCACTTCAGAGTTGCACTCACATTCTCTCATCTCTGGTTAGTAAATGGCTATAGCAGTATGCTTGGAGTAGAATAATAGAGTCATAGAATCATTGAGCTGGAAGAAACCTCATGGACCATTCAGTCCAACCCCCCTGCCAGGAAGCAGGAAAATCACATTCAAAGTAGATGAACATTGTCTAATCAAGTATTGAATTCTTCCTTCTGCAGCATCCAAAAAAAGGCATATATCAATATAATCCCACATTACCTTGATGTATGTCACCAACAGATTTCTAATCCAAATTCTCACAATCTCTGTGTGAATGCCAATACAACTGAGAAAAATTAAATGAATGGGAATGTAGCAACAATAGATAGAAGGTGGAGGATTTGCGTAGAGTGCAGGGGCCTATTGCATGGATCTTGCCCCAAAGTTCCATGAAACAAGGAACTGATGGCTTAAGTAACAGTAGATCCTACCCTGTTCCCTTAGATTTGCAGGAGGTTCTCTAAAATTTGAAGCCTTGCCTGCCATCAGTCAATTGCAGTAGAAACAGAAATTGTACCAGTGAGAACATATAGGAAGTTGGATTATACCAAGTCAATTAGTCTAAATCTAATCCTTGTCTTTTCTAAATTGACTGGCAACTGATTTTCAGTTGCAAATAAGAGTTTTCCAGCCCTACCTGGACATTCTACAAACTGAACTGGGGTATCATTTACATATAAACATTATGCGCATTCCTCAACTGAACTATGCCTATTCCCCTTTGCTAATAAGCTTTTTATGGAATGATTTATTAGTGGAGGAATGAGGGAGGTTGAGATATTAGGCTCTATTACTCATATGCTGCAACAAAGTCCAATCATTTAGCAATCATTTAGAGTCGGAAGTGGCTGAACGAATAAACAACAAATATTCAGGCACAATGAATAATGTAAAGATGGCATGGAGGCAGTTGGTCCTACCCTAGATGTGCAGGATAACAGGTGTATGATGGGGGAAAATCCACACTACATACATTGATTTACTAAATCGGCTTGTTGTTCAGCATTGTAACTTCTTCTGTTATTTCACTCCCATATTTCTCTCTCAACTCATCTTCCCTTCAACTACAGTTTAACTTCAGCTGTCATGCCATGATTTTTAATGTTCAGGAAATGTAGCATGACTTTCAGGAATTCAACACTAGGCAGTGAGCAATTTTGAAAGCTGCATACCCTGAAGTAACATATGCAAATCAAAGTTTAAAGAGGTAGTAATTTCAGATCATACAAGCTGTTCATGAAAAACTGCTATGACTCGCTAGATAAAATGCTGGCTTCTCTTATGTTCTTCACTGTGTTTATTACTCTGCCTCAACCAAACCTACCTAACTGAAGGAATGCTTGAGTTGTTATCTGGAAGGGCTTACGTTTTAGATATAGCAAGGGTATCACAACAGTCCTTTTCCAAATAATATAACAGCATGATTACATGTTTTTTGTGTCGAAAGTAATGTTGATTATCTTTTCTTGTTACATTTTTGAGACTAGGAGGAGTTTTGTGTGTGACATTTTTGATGGGAATTTTAAGCTATTTTCTTACTTTTAAAATGTTTTCCCTCTAAATAGCCATCAAAAAGTAGGAAAGGACAATGAGAAAGTCAATGCAAGATTTGACATTAATGGTAACATGTTTCTTGGGCATGAAACAGGCTAAATCAATATCTTTTTTAAAAAAAAATAAAACTTTCCAAGCTTTCTAAACCTTCCAAATGTCACAGGGGCAAAGTGTATGTTGGATCAAAGTGAATTGAGGGGATTATTTATCTTCACATACATAGTAAGATGGGATAAGAATATTTATCATGGCCTACTTGCTTCTAACCAGAAGGTAGATGAGCGCCCAAACAGCTGGGAGTGAAGACGGAAGCTTAATTAAGTAAATATTATCCAAACTAATAATTCTTCATTTGGAGGACAGAATGAACTTGAAGCATAAAAATAGTTGCAGGAAAAGGAGAACTGTTAATGCTATGTTTATGGGAATTTAGTGTTTTGCATCTCACATAGCAACATAGCATGGATAGATTACACTCTTAGGTTCTGCCTCCCCCCCCCCCCCCCCCCAGCATTACACCTAGTATTGCACGAAGAGTGGCCAAAGTACAGCTTTGTTTTCCTTCAAATCCTACATGCCCTACCCAGCATAGTAATAGGTAAGGGATGCTGAAAATTGCAATTCAACAACATCTGGAGGGCAGCATTTTACCCACCCCAGAATACATTTTAACAATTTCACCAAAAATAAGATCATAATAATCGCATCACTTTCCGTTCTCTTTCCTTCTTTCAACCTTTTTAGGAGAACAACAGCCATTACACAGATGTGGAGGATTCTAGCCTACAGTAACCAGGTATACCTAATAGCAAATATAGGGTTTTTTTAAAAAAACAAAACAAAATTAGTTTTAACAGCCTGTTGCTGTTGTTTGAATGGTTTTTGTTCAGTTGTACAATTGCACATTCATTTTTCTTTCTTCCCCCTTCTATTTTTATTTCTTCTATTTTGCAAATTTTTATTTTTAACTTGGCCTAAATAATGGAGATTGAACATACATGAGAAGAATTGTGCAGTAAGGTTCAGTAGGGTTCATTTTCCACAGTGTCACATGTCCACATGAAATCCAGAAAGGTATTCCCCACTGATATGGGGGTCATACTGTATTACATAATGAATTATCATAATATCCAAATGCCTTGATCCGAATCTGCTCCAACATAAACCTTTCTCTCACATTCATAATCACTGCACTCTGTTATATATGTAAAAGATAGAGACTCCTGTGTACAGAAAAGGGAAGCTCCCTAAGAAAAGCCTAACTTGTTGGGAGACTTTTTGGAGAACTGTTTCAGTCACAAAAAGCATTCTGGGGTAGTATGTAGCCTGTAGGCCTCAATGTGCCCAATTCTGCTCTCATCTCTGATACGAGTATGGTGTCAATGTACAGTAACTGGCAGCAGCTCTCTAGGGGTGCATCTACACTGTAGAATTAATGCTTTTTGGCACTACTATAACTGCTATGACTAAATGCTATGGAATTCTCAGATTCGTAGTTTGGTGAAGCACCAGCACGCTTTGGCGGAAAAGGCTAAAGCCAGTGATTTAATAGCACTAGCCATGACAGTTAAGATGGTATCAAACTACAGTAATTCTGCATTATAGATGCACCATAGGACTGGAGGCATGAAGCCTTTCTTTCCCTACTTGGACATAATTAGAATTTAAACCTAAGATCATGTATCCCAGTGGTTCTTAACCTGTGGGCCGCAGACCACCTGTCGGCCGCAAGGATGAAAATCTGGTCCACCAGCCTCCTTCCTCTTTATTTATTACTTTTATTTTATTTACACTCCTTTCACGCCACCTGCCACTCCTCCCCTATCACTGACCATGGAATATGTTCTGTACCAGAAACTAGAGCAGATGTGGTCTATCCAATGCAATTTTCTGAATCAGCACCCCAAATCAAATCTAAAGTTTACCAAAAACTGATTCGTAACCCTTTTGGTACTAATGTTGGAGAGTGGTCCCTGGTTGAGTGGTTCCTGGTCAAAGTGGTCCCTGGTCAAAGTGGTCCCTGGTCAAAAAAAAGGGTTGGGAACCACTGGTGTATGCAAAGTGTGCATTCTGTAACTCAGCTTGAGACCTTCTGTGGAAGAAAAGTTTAGTTTGCAATATAGATCATTATTGCAAGCTATCTGAGTGAAGATTTTCACAATTCACAAGTAGTTTGCAAATGTCTGTGACTTGGGGAAGTAAAGGAAGATGGATAGAATAAGGTGAAAGTTTGTGGTTTGTTGCTATACTGTTATATATACAGTATTGTGGAAATTTAATAAAAAATGTACATTTGAAAAAAAATATTTTTCTTTTCTTTTTCTCCATCCTTTATTTTAGCATGTTCAGCACCGCAGCTACAACAGGAGGACAGCAAGAGGTTAAACCCTGCCTTGGCATGTTGAGCCAGACAAGCATAACATGCAGGACTGCCATCATCTCTCTGCCTGGCATTCAACAGGATAAATGGACCAATATCTCCAAGCAGTTTTGTAGTCCACAGCAATGTAGTCATCCCAGTGGATCCTCGTCATTACCCTCTCCCCCAACCTACCCCTTTACTACAGACTCAAAGCCCTGTCACCAGCACAAGCACCAGTTCTGTGATCTCCAGTAGCAAGTATTGGAAGAGACCATTTTCTATTGGCCAATGAAAGTTTGTATCTTTTAGCACCAAGGAAAGAGCAAGAATGAATAAGAGAGAGAATTCTATATAGAGAGCCTTTGTTCCAGAAACGCATGGGACTCTGATAAACAAAAGCCAGAAAGAGAAAGCTATTTCACTATGTAAATTGATGGGCTTTGAATGTGAAATTCTATCTATAACTGGGAGTCAGGAGGATACCTGGTTGTCCATTTAGCTCCTAACTAGCCGGACTCAAGGCCACCCCGGAACTACACAAATTGTACCATTTGGAGTATGCTCTTTAATGAGACAATATGTAGAAAGTGGTGTAGATTTTGGAAGAATGGACAGAGAACACGGCTATTAACAGTTGATTCTATAAATAACAAACTGCCTTCTTTCACTCTTCTTTAAATGTATTAGTTAAGAAATGGGTCTATACTACAGAGGCAGAATGGCATTAGCTTAGACTAGAAGGCATATCTTAAATCAAGCATTTCAAAATAAAGGGATACAACTGGAACATTCACTTCACAAGCTGGCATACCTGCTGTTTATTAAATTTGCCTAAAATCATATATTTGCTTTTTGTAAAGGTAAGGCCAACCAGATCTGGTCCAAAGTGAAGGTAAAGTATGTAATGATGAAACAATAACGAGAACCTGAAAATCCCACAATAGCTGAAGCCAATGATAACATAATGTGTGTCCCGTTTCCACGACAAGAGTCCTAAGATCAGAGCAAAATGCATTTTAGTTATTCTCATCTAAGGATCCTCCCTGTTGTTGTTTCTCTGAAATTCGGGTACTTTTAGCCCACTCATACCAATAAAGAAAAATTGTGAGCAGGATTTCTTGCGCAGGTTATCAAACAAACATCTTGCAAAATGGCAATTTTTTCATTTTCTTCCTGCAGTGATTCCTTTGTTGTACAACCCACTTGAAAGTAGTTTTCATCCTCATTATCAACTTCAGAGGCAGGCGATGCGACAGTTCCTTAGCGTTGTGACTCAGTCCTATGGACTCTAACCTCATCACCAACTTCAGAGGTAGACGGTGTGACATTTCCTTAGCAGTGTGACTCGATCTCGAGGACTCCTGCTCAGAACAGACGCGACTGTGCTGAAAGGGAGGGAGAGAAGCACAACATTGTTTAGGCCAGTTCCAAAGGACCTTAATTTGACATTACTTTCAAAGCATTTTTACTAGAAAAAATGTCCTGACACAGAGGATTTCCATTCCTTGAATTTCTTGACAGACGATCACATCTGTCAAAGCACAACAGTTTGCATCCACTTTTTTGTTGAAAATAGTATCTCCTGGAGAGCAAAGAAACAGGCAATTGCTTTGAGTTTTCTTCTCTTTCTTTTTCTCAGTTGGCTTCTCTTGCAAAGTTTGGCCACTTTGTTGTACTGGGCTATTTTAGAACAGCTTTTTAGGCTTTGTTTTGCTATGACCCGATCATGAGATTGAGCTGTAGAAGGGGAGTAGGGGGCTTTGTATATAAAATCCTGTACAATAAAATGAGAAACTTGATGTTCTTTAGAGTATTGTATTTCTTTTTTTTTTACTGACTCAGATATGCAAAGCAATATGGCCAGAGTTGCAAACGGGACCAGCCTGAAATGTTGTGGCATGAAATGTGGCTGATCACAGTTCCAACCATTTTCCAAGATGTACCGCTCCATTCACTTTTCTTCCAACATAGCATGCCACTGAAAATTGGGAAAATGGAAAAGTATAGTTTAAGTTTGATTTTATAAGAATTTTCCAAAATTAGTTACTGTTATACCAAACTGCTATAACTCTGCAATGTAGGATAAAACCCTTATTACGCCAAAAAAAAAAACCCAAGGTATTATTCCCACACAAGTGTTACTCTCATGATGCCTTTGTGACAAAAAGCAGCAAATTACAAGGAACAACTACGTTCTTAATTTACTTCCTAACATTACTTTTGTGCATTATCTTGTTGCCTACACACCGATCAGTCTTCCTCTAACAGAGTAGTTCTGAACCTGTTGGTCCCCAGGTGTTTTGGCTTCAAATCCCAGAAATTCTAACAGCTGGTAAACTGGCTGGGATTTCTGGGAGTTGTAGGCCAAAACGCCTGGGGACCCACAGGTTGAGAACCACTGCTCTAATAGGGAAAAAAATCAGCTGATCAGAAAAGACTGGAATCTTGCCAAAAATGCACCACAAAGAAACCAGTTTGGAACTTTATAACGTTTCAGCTAGAGGTTACAAGACTTTTCTGAAGAAAATATCAAAAGACAATCAGTTGGGAACCTCTTCTGTGGAAGGATCTATTTGTGCCTAAAAGGTTACCTTGAACACAGTTAAGGAAAAAAGTAACTCAGATCTTCTGTACAGAACTGCACCTCAAAATGGGCTTTGGAATGTCATGATACACAGACACAACTATAGCTACAGGTCTTCCAGTAGCTAATTTTGTCTCCAAGAAGCCATTGATACAAAGAACTCTATTATAAGTAGCCACTATTCCATGGCATAGTTGTATTATCATTGATAGCAGATATATACTGAAATGAGCACCTTCATTCACACAGTTGTGCTGATTCAACAATCTTTGGTCAATCACACTTTCATAATCTCATAATACCACATTTTCATATTTCCCGTATTTTTAAGAGCAATTTTGCAAGTTCGGGTATTTTAAAAAGACAAATTAAACTATCAAAAGTGAAAATACGTGTATGTGTGTATTGATGTTTGTGGGTGAGTTCCAAGATGGCTCCTATGTACAGAGAGCCCTGTGACTACCACTGATGATGGATCTGGACCAAACGTGGCATACTGACCCAACATGACCAAATTTAAGTACTGGAGGAAATTGACCTTGGATGTTAGGAAGTATTCACCCACAATCAACGAGCACTCTAAACCCAACTAACCCTGCATCTGGAACAAACTTGGCACATATACCCAACATGGCCAACTTTGAATACTGGTGGAGTTTGGGGTGAATTGAGCTTGGATATTGGGAGTTGTATTTCACCCACATCCAGAGAGCACTGTGAACTCAACTGATGATGGATCTGAACCAAACTTGGTACATAGACTACAGAAGCCCTAACACAGGCATCACTTGGTACTTAAGCTTGTAAAATATAAAATAAACAAAAAGCCTGGGAATAGTGAGGATTGTTCTATACCCTCAGAGGATGCTGAACTGGCCTTTTTAGAACATGGCTTTTAGAATAATACACAGTATGGGGCAGAGTGGCTCAAGGAAGTGTTCTTTCTCATGAAAACAGAACTTGGGTCTCACTCAATAAAACTAATCAATAGAGTAAGCAGGCCACATAAGAGAAAATGCTTCTTCATGCACTCGTTTCAGAATCCCTGACTAAAACAATTATGACATGACTATTAGCACACCTAACGTTAAAGAACAACTGAAAGAGTCATTCTTTTTTCAAATTTCAAAGAGGTTAAAACTTTTCTGTCATGCTATCATCTTGAGGGAAATTATTGCTATCTTCAAATGAAGGGGTTGTCCATTTTCTTTTAGTTGCTCCAAGTTCTGGTTCAATTTCTAACTTATAGTTTCTAACATATACAACTGTATAAAAGTATTTGAATTTGTCCAAACAAAATTGCGGATATGCTTTCAAAGTACATTTTTGACATCTGAAGAGGCAAAAGGATATACAGAGTCAGAAACTCGAGGCTTAGACTAGCAACACATTGCAGTATGAAGTTTAACTCATCATTACAAACACAAAGGTTACAGCAGTGTATTATCATTATATCAGTGGTTCAAATCCAAGGAGAACAGGTTGAGCTCCCTCTGTAAGCTCCAGCTCCCTATGTGGGGATAAGAGAAGCCTCCCACAAAGATGATAAAAAAAATCAAACACCCTGGGCAACATCCTTGCAGGTGGACAATTCTCTCACAACAGAAGAGACTTGCAATTTCTCAAATTGCTCCTGACATGAAAAAAAAACCAAACAAACTAGCAGCAAAAACACTTGCTTCCACTTCTTCTTCTCTTGGATGCAGGAATACAGCTTCGATGCAAGCACTGTGTATGCTTCTCATTCTCCAGTTCTGTATGCTGATTTGAAAACAAATTTAATCACTATACCAGTATTTTCTTCAAATACATTTCGAGTTTCCTATTAAAGATGCATTGTGAGACATCTTTTCATAGCTTTACATGAAACACCACAAAGGGTTTTGAATCCCAATACACTGCACATTCTTCTGTGGCATGTTTTGTACCTGCATATAGTCATGATTTCTTCCAGGAAGCATTCATTAGCAGTTCTTGACATTAGGGATAGGAAAAAATTGAAAACAAAGTTGGAACATGTATTGTCGAAGGCTTTCATGGCCAGAATCACTGGGTTGTTGTAGGTTTTTTCGGGCTATATGGCCATGTTCTAGAGGCATGTTCTAAAGTTGGAACAGCTTGTTCCTTCTGTAACAGGTCAAGGAAAACTTTGATGCCAAGTGGTTTTGTAGGGTACAGAATAGTTTGTAAAAACAGACACATGATGTCAATTCCAAACACATGTCAATTATTTCACTGATGTTGTATAAACAAATTATCACTGCATTCATAAACTACATTAAAAAATGCCGTCTCCTTGCTCATGACCTCTAAAGGCCAGAGGAGGCATTTCCATGTTTTAATAATTCCTGAGCCATTTTAACAGAAATGAGAAGACATTTCCTGCTTTTAAAGGGGTATCTCTGGTCCTAAGATCTTGGCAAAAATGCCCTCTTTTGCCTTTTAGATGAATTTTTCAGATTTTCTCTGGAAGGTCTCAAATGGTTATGTTAGGCTTAGCTGGCCTGGTGGTTTAATTTCAGGTGTTCATGTTGCTAATTTTGGATGAAAGGTTGGCTGAAGTATGTTGAATTGCTCTTCTGTGTGTGTGTGGTTCAGGAATCTATCATCATTCTTTCCATATTATTTCTTCCTTTGGTACCATATTTTGTTAAAATATTAACGCTTAGGAACTTCCATCAATTGTGGTTTATCTGCATTGTTAGTATAAAGAATGTTAGCTCCCTCTTGTGGCTGCACTATTCTCAGCCAGTCAAGAACACCATAGATCCTGTTTCCAAAATAAAGAAAAAACCTACCGTGTAAGGGGGGCTAAGGGGGATATACATATACTATGGCATCTTCTCTGGAGATCAACCAATATTATGATTTGCATTGCTTCCTTAAAACTGTTGATGTACTGAGCACATGGAAACAATGATGTAACAAACAAAATTTATCAGTGCTTAATGCAGTTGGAAAACTCGAAACAATAGCTCATTTCCATAAGGATTTGCACTTGTGTATACAAGGAGTAACTTATTTCAAAAGATCTATACAAACAGAAAGAATACGTTTAGGTTGAAATAACAACACACAAGATTGCTGTAAGTTTTTTGGGCTGTATGGTCATGTTCCAGAAGCATTCTCTCCTGAACATACTGCCCAAAAAAACTTACAAAAATCCAATGATTCTGGCCATGAAAGCCTTTGACAATACAACACACAGGATTATCACTGTTCTAAGAAGGCAACCATAATGTCACAGTAATATTATGCAAGAGGCATAGATCCTGGCTTTATTTGCTTTAAAAGTTACATCCAACATTCATTACAATTCAAATACTATTAGAAACCATTTTAGAAAACCAATCCTTTAGGTTGCCTGTTCTCAAGTAGTCTTTCTCAAGTAGTCTTGGGAGAGTACTTGGCAAAACTGAATTGTTAGCATGGATACAGATTAAAAATTTAAGCAAAAACTCCCCCAGTAGTTTAACATAAGTAGTTAGGCAAGCAGCCAACCCCAACTTTATTAAGGTTATTAGGCAAGTTCTGTCAACTCCCAACAACCACCCCAGCCGCACAATATGAAATATGTGCCTTCTTCCCAGTGAGATCCAAACTCCTGAAGCAGTACAATAGTTAAAAGGCACTCTTCCCAAACACATGCATGTTTCAGTTATTTATTGTAGAATAACATATTTTAAGTCTTGAAATGTGATAGTGTAATAGCTCTGCTAGACTATCTAGACAAAGCATCCTTCTTCCCCAAATATGCACTTTGTCTCCATGGCATCTACTCTCTGCAATGACATGTCATAATGACTTGTACCTGCTGATAGCAATAATTCTCATGAAGGTGAATCATCTTTTAGTGGCCATCACCAAATGTCATGGTAAAAAGTTTCATATCTTGATTATGCATTGTGTAAAAAAAATTATTTCCCCTTTTCCTGTCCACATTGATTACCCTTCATCTTCACTGAATGACTCACATTTGTAGAATGCAGTGATTAGAGCTGCACATAGTATTTCAAGAGGTTGCACCATTATTGCGAGAAAGACATAATATTCAAGGGTGGGGGCTCAGTCTCTTTTCTAATTATTCAACCTACAGGAAAGGCGACTCCACTTGAACATTAGGAAGAAGGAAGAACTTCCTAACTGCGTGAGCTGTTCAGCAGTGGAATTCTCTACCCCGGAATGTGTTGGAGGCTCCTTCCTTGGAGGAGTTTAAACAG